CGTAGCTTCCCATGCTGTTGCTCATTGCTGTCCACTCACCAGGACGTCCCCAAGTCGTTGCCAACCGAGAGCAGTCCACCTTAGCACAGAGCAACGCAGGCCTGACAACCTGAGTGCAAAGCACCGAGGAGGCCACAAGAGGTAAATGATCCCAGCTTTGGTACAGGGGTGGGGGAGGCAGATGCTGGTTAAAAGACTGGTCTAATTACCCCAAGAGCACATGTGCTTATGTACTGAAGGCCCGGCACATGCTCCACAGACTTGGACTGCGCCCTTAGCCCATGGCTAAGAGTCCCATCCGAGTGGACGCTGTCCCGAGAACCGGTGATGAGCACACGGCGCTCCACGCTGCACCATGGCTACATGCAAGCCGCTCGCTCTCTCCGTGAAGCTCGAGACAGAGATCTAGCTTCTCCGAGACATCTTCCTCCCTACAGGCCCACTGCCACCCACACTCCCCAGCGTTCACCAAGAGCCCGGGCACGGGGAGCTGGGACAGTCAGGGCACCATGTGGGTGCAGGTCATCATTCAGCCTTCCAGGGGCTGCGCGACCTCCATGGGCCCCTGGGCTTTGTCCTGTAACACGCGTTATGTGTGCCTGCACTGCTGGGGCCCTTGTATGCTTGACGACAGGTGAAAATGCACCAGCGGGCTGCCGCTGGCCAGATCTATCATAAGTTGAAGGATCCAAATAAGCACGGAGAGTAATGCATAGTAACCTGTTGAACTAAAAGGGACCTGTGAATTTAGGTCCACAAACAAAACGAGCACACACTCGGGAAGGGAACTTCTTCCTCCTCTACACACACTTTCCTTCCAGGGCAGATGGAGACACACGGACTGGAGAGTAGAAGACGCCACCTCTGACCAGAGTCAGCCTTGCCAGCAACAGGACAAAGGGACTCCCTGGGCCTCCCAGTGCAAACTCTGGATGGAGGAGGCCACAGTGTCACTCCTGTAGTATTCCTGCCCGAAACACAAAACTCAAGTCTCATCGTGAGGGGAGATCAAACAAACTAGAGTCTCTATGAAGTGTCTTCCAAAGTGTCAGCGTCATGAAGACTGAGAGAGAATTGGTTCCAAGTCAATGGCATCAAAGCGATGAAGACAACTCAACTTAACGCAGGATTCTAAACCGGATCTTGGACCGGAAAAAAACCTTTTTTTTTATCTTACTATAAAGGACATTTTGGCACAACTGGTAACATTTGGATGAAGTCCACAGATTACATAACGGTACTGCAACATTGTTAATTTCCTGATTTTGAGAACTACACTGTGGTTATGTGAGAGGCCACTTTCATTAGTAGGAAATACACACGATGCACTGAAGAGTAAGAGGGCATCACACCTGCCACTTACTCTCAAACCGGGCAGAAAACAACGCGCACACGGGTAGAAAGAGGGAGAACATTAAAGCCAATGTGGCAACATGGGAACAGTGGGGAACTTAGGTGGCGGACGGAAGGGGGGTTCTTCGTACCATTCTTGCAACTTTCACGTGAAGTCTGCAGTTATTTCAAAACAAAAAAGTCACAAAAATACACCAGACTTGGAGCAGTCAAACTGACCAGGCAGAGGGGGGGCACACAGGCCACTCTGCCCTGGCAGGGTCGTGCGGGGGCAGTGACATGGAGTCACAAGAGAGAAAGGGAACATGCACCGGGACTTTGCGCTCACCTGTGCCTCTCTCACCTCCTCCAAGGGTTCAGACTGCACAGCTCCGTGGCACAGGCTTCCCCACTGCCCTTAAGTGGACTGAACACATGACAACTACAGGACACCTTCCTCTATTGCTCTAACTGAAAAAACGGGAAAATATCCTGTCAGGCTTCGCAAGGCTCATGGCAGTAAAAGACCAACACTTTAGAAAAGGCACTGTAACAGTATTAAGCACATAAAGACACTACGTATTTAAAATGCTAACATCCATTAAAAAGCAACCGTCGTAAAGCAAGGCAACGCGTGCACCACTCACCGAAGAAGTAACTCCTCCCAGCCCCCCCCCCCCCCC